GAACAAGTGTCCTCTGCTGGCACAGACTCCGGTGTTTGACCTGGGCCAGGCTGAGATTGTTGCCAAGGCTGTGCTAAAATTTTACGATGTCTTTGCATAAAAGTTATTAAGACTTTCAACATGGAGACCCCAGGGTGTTAAACCAATCAGGAGGCCCTTCTAAATGTGGGGCCCTGTGTGACACCCATGAAGGCACTCTTGTTTGGCAGGCATCCCCCTCACTTGTCACCAGCCTTCGTGTGACCATGGCTGCTTATGCCTTATACCCTCTGGAAAAACGCAGGCACCTTCACCAGCTCACCCTGGTCCCAAAAAGAGGAGAAAGAGCTTACCCTAATTCTAGCTGGAGCCGTCCCTCCTGTGTCCTCATCCCCTGTCCCCACATCAACCTTCTCCTTGGGTGGTTAAAAGTTGGGTCATCTATTCCCTCCACACAAAAGTCTGCTCTCACCCAAAGAGTGAGGTCTGGCTCCAGGGCCCCCATAAGTCAGTAATTTTATAGGGTGACATCAGCTCATTGCCTAAAGTCCAGTTATTAATAACCTAAGTCTGATTATGCAGTCTTTTTTGGGGGGGGGGAGGGAAGGGAGAGAAAGAGATAGAAAGAAACATTGATGTGAGAGTGAAACATATCAACTGCCTCCTGCATGCCCCCACGGGGGATCAAGCGTGCAACCCAGACAAGTGCTTAGGCTGGGAATCGAACCAGCAACCTTTTGGTGCACCGGAAGACACCCAACCAACTGAATCACACTGGCCAGGGCTGGTTATTCATTCTTAAATGACACCATGTGTGTGAGTCACAAGTAACCCAGCTGAAGTGAGAGAATGACAAGTTTATTTCTTTTTCAGTCACTTCTTACTGAAGACATAAAAATATTGGGACCCAGCCTCCCCCGTGATGACCCTGGGAGCAGCGACCTACAGCTAACACCACCCCTGTCTCTCTGGGAAATCAAGCTCCTCCACGCTCATCTCCAGGGCTGGGCATGTGACCCATTTCAATCCAATTAACATTGGATCTAGATTGAGAGACCCAGAGAGGAATACTCAGCCATTGCTCAGGTCACCAGATCTCACTGGCCAGCACCCCCAGGCATCTCAGTTGTGTGAGCCAATGAACTCTCTTTCTGCTTCGGATGGTTTCAGTTAGGGGGTTTGCTTTGCCTTTAAAAGGCTCTTAACAACAAAAGAGATGGAGGGACCGAGAGCAAGAACATGTCATCACTGGCCCTGCTTATACCTTGTGAAAGGAGATGTATGAGTGTGTGTGTGCGTGTGTGCGTGTGTGTGTGTGTGTGTGTGTGTGTGTGTGTGTACACAGATGGCAGCCAGAGGTGCAGAAAGCAAGAAGAATTAAGAGCTTAAACATGACTTGGTTCAAGACACCTAAAATTATACAAGTTATACAAGACATAGAAGCAGATGTTGTTAAACAACATCTCCACTTGGATGGGAAAAGCTGTCCCTGCTGAGCAGAAATGCAAATAAGAGGAGGGAACAGACGTGGGCATCAAGGTCAGGGCATAGGAACTCTGGAGCTCCACGTATTCCAACAATTATACCATTATTTCCCCTGGGAGGATGGACCCAGGCTGTGCCCAGCTGGGAAGGGCATTGCTGCCATCTCCACCCTCTCCTGTGTGCCCCAGGGAGGGCTTCTCTGGCCTGAGCAGGGAGGTGGAGACAGGGCAGGCCGGGTAAATTTAGAGCCACTTCCCCCACAGGGTGCTCACCTCTGGCTGTTTACCTCCGGCCAAGCTGGGCTTCCTGCCCTGAAAATGGAGGAAGTCAGAGCCCTTCCCCAGAGCAGCTTAGAAGAGGAAACATCAGCACACCAACCGTCATGCGTTTCAGGAACTTTCTCACAAGAGGCCCCAGGGACTCTGCAGAGAGGGAAGCCTGCAGAGTGTGGAAATGACGCTGGGGGTGGGTCTGAGTCACCCTCTTTTACTGCTCAGACTGTCCAGGGGACCAGCCGGCGCCACTCCCCTTGCCAGCTGCCTGCCCTGGGGTCTGGGCAGGACCCACAAGCCAGCAATGACCAGTGACGTAACCTGCACTTCATCTCTTTATCTGAAAGTCTCCCACTCTCCAGCAAGAGGCCAACAAGCTGCCGGAAACGTTCCACAGGGCATGGAGCCGCTCACTTTCTGGGCTTTCTTGCTTGTTGCTGAGCTGAGGATGGAGATGTGGCAACAAGTGGAGACACTGCTTTCATTTTGATTAAATATATTTTTTCTTAAAAAACAACAACAACCCACCACTTGCCCTGGCTGGGGTGGCTCCCCTGGCATGAGCTGTTTCATGCGTCGAAAGGTTGCTGGTTCCATTCCAAGTCAGGCACATGCCTAGATTTCAGGCTCAATCCCTGGTTGGAATGAGAGCCATTTATTATTATTGTTGTTGTTGTTGTTGTTGTTGTTGTTATTATTTGGTGTGTATGCGTTCTCTTATGATGCCCGGCATAGTTTCTCACACTTTGGAAATGCTTTGTACAGTTTGCTGAAGGAGGAGGTGAGGCACGTGGACTCCTGAGGGATGCAGAAATCACAAGGTGAGCAGTACAAGAGGGAAGTGAGGACAAATGCAAGAGAGAAGGGAGAGAAGTAGAGATGACCTGCTTGCCTTTCCCACTCACTGAGAGGACATGTTAGAGCAGAGCCAGAGGGAATGGAAAGCGTGTGTAGGACAGACTTTGCCGGTTCTTATCTCATCAATAATTCTTTTCCCCCCAACATGAATGGATGAATGGATGGACAATCTACATCTTTCTACACCCCCCCCCCCCCGCCCCAGGTGCTGGTCTTTCTGAACTGCTACTGAGGTGACTGATTGTAGCTTAGCAGTTGTTTGCCCCTCTTGGAACAAGACTGGCATGTGGGTATTCACCAGAGCACTGGGGATAGTGAGTGAGAGCTCTATTTAAAAAATATCTTCATTGTTTTCAGAGAGGAAGGGAGGGGGGATAGAAATATCAATGGTGAGAGGGAATCATTGATCAGTTGCCTCCGCCACACCGCCTACTGGGGACCGAATCCAAAATCCAGCATGGGTGCTGGTCAGGAATTAAATCGTAATCTCCAGGTTCATAGGTTGACGCTCAAACACTGAGCTGTACTGGTTGGGAGTGAGTTACAGCTTTTAAACGGAAGTTTCATTGTCCCGACTCACTAGCATCTGGGCAAACACTGCCCCCTGTCTGTGCTTCCTGTTCCCAGAGCTCACAGTCAAGCCTGGCACAGCAAGAACCCAACCCTTGTGTGGTTCCTGAGCCTCTAACTCACATTGTTGCCCTTGATGACTCTCCAGGCTGTACCGGTAGCAAGAGAGGGTGGGGCATCTCCGAGGGAAAGAGCAGCAAGGTTGTCCACATGTTTTAAATTATTTAGGTGCATAAAATATTCAGATTTGTGAGCACAACAGCAACTCTATTTAAAAACTCCAGACATGTGATGGATGAACTCAATGTTTCCAAGCAGTTCCCAGCTCCAGCTCACCCCACAGAAATATTCTAAGAGCTACTCAGGCTCATTTGGGTCAACTCCCAACTCTTGGGACCAGCTAAAGAGCAAGTGCCATACAGGGTGGATGATGTTTGGCATATGGTTTCATATAAGCACATTTTAATGAGAGGTTTTAGGGCATCCCCACCCCACCTCCTATATTTCCCAGAAAAAGGAAATACTCAACTTGCAAAACAAACCGGCAAACAACTAATACATTATCTAACATCTTCATTCCAAAAAACAATCAGCCAGGCATGATTATTTTCTGATTTGTGGGTAAATAAAGTAAGGCCCGCAGATGTTGTTCAAAGTCACATCAAGATCTGTCTGATTCTACCATATAGCAATTCTTTTCTGACAAGTTTCCAGGACTATTTGACATAAAATCTGGCTGTTCTGTCAAAACATGAAATGATTCTTCCTCCCTCATAATGGTAACCTCTGGGGAGGAAGAAGGGGGGAGTGTGTGGGACGGGCTATGGGGGGGGGAGTTCTGGGAAACTGGAAGGTCCCAGCTCTTTATCTTGGTAGTGGTTGCCCAGAGGTGCTCACTTTGTATTACTGATACTAATCCATCAGGGTGTACCTGTAGGATTTGAGCTTTTCTTGTGTTTATTTTTACTTCAATAAAAGTTTATTTAAAAACACACACAAAAAACCCTTCTTCCTAGCAACTAATGGTGGAGGGGGAAGGCTACACCCCTTAGTCAATGTGTTCTAATGAAACAGCAGAAATTCCTTGGGCTCTACTATGATACTTAAAAAAATAAGACAAGTATGTTGAGATCCTGCCCCTTTAAAAAGAAGGTTCTGATTCTTTCAAAGCCATGGATTTTGGATTAAAAAGTGTTGCCTAGAGCGGGGCTGCCACTTTCCCCAATACTCACTTCAAGAGGAGACCTACATTACTGAGGACTGAGTTGCATAAGGAACTTGAATGAGGGAAACCAGGGACAAATGAGAACTTAGAAATGAGCTAACAGTTTCAGGCAGCTGTGAGCAAGGTAAGGGCTGAGGGCAGGTTTCTGGAGTCACGAGGGAGTCTGGTTTGAAAACAACAATTTTTTTTCCTGCTGCAGATCATTTCTGTGCCTAATTTTAGCCAGTTGGCAGGAATTGAAGTCTTTTGACCACAACTATAGGACCTGACGGGGCTGGAGCCTGGGTGGGAAGACAAAGCGCCTCCCCAATGGTTACACGGAAGTTCTAATGGATCAGAGGCAGGAGGGGGAGGATGAGAAAGGGACACGGGGCGATTTAAATGAATGAACGAAGCTCCTGACAACCTGAGCCTCTGGTGGCGGCCCCTCCCCCAGAGCACACGCATCTCTGGTTTGGGCAGAAAACAGGATCCAACAGAAAACGCTCCCTAGGCTCACAGACAGGGGCGAGTTTCCTTTTAAATCCCCAAGCCAAGTCAGGGGAACAGACAGAACTCCTGGTGAGGGCGCCAGCGTTGGGACGGGGTGGGGGTCTGGAGGGGAGTCTTACCTTATGCAGGACATGCTCATAGAAGTCAGGGCCAGCTCCCCCCTGGTAGGAGCCGAGGGTCTGCAGGTCCATGTCCGGCTCCGAGCCCGCTGATCCCGCGCTCCCGCGTTCTGCGTCAGAGCTTCCGGAAGCTGGGTCCAGGCTCCGGGCTCAGCTGGGTGCTGCAGGCTCGGGTCTAAGTCCCCCCGCGGGTCGGGCCGGGCCGCATCCGGGCTCAGCACTGGACAGCTCCCGCGGCAGCCCTGGCGGAGCACCTGGAGCTCAGGTCCACGATCTCGACGTTTCAGCACCAGGAACAGCGGCACCGCCCTGTGAGCCCTGGACGTTCTGAGACCTGGTCTGCTCTGAGTCTCTGTCTTGTGACTCCAGGATGCGGGGAGGGACGCCAGCTTTCAGACTAGCCGGTGGCCCGTGTGCATATCTCGTTCAGCTATGGGATCTCCGGAGGCTCAGCGACCCGGCTGCATTCGCAGGGCATTGCGGTAGGTCCAGGAGCTCACGGTTCCTGATTCTTCAGTAAAGGAGCGTCCTCGTCACACCACGCAGCTCCGTTCTCCCCCAGGGTTTGCAGAGGATAAGTCCTGAGACGCTGGCGCCGCTTCTCTGTTCTCCCTGGGCAGTTCCCTCCAGCAGCTGTGAGACAAACAGCGGTGTGAAGCCTGAGGCTGATAGATGACGGGCTTTAGGGAGCCCCTGAAGACTCTGAAATGTTTTTGCAAAATTCTCCTTAACCCCCCAAAAGTTAAGAACAGCCGGCTTGGGAAAGGCAGAAGGGTGTTGGTTGAGAGCCCAGACTCCAGATTCAAACCTCGGCTCCGATAATGTGTAATTGTGCCAGGTTACTGGGCAAAATGTTTTATACATTATCTCATTAATCTGACCAATAATTCTATGAGATAGTTACTAGTGTATCCATTTTACAGGAATGGAAACTGAGGCTTCAGGGTTTTTTTTTTTTTTTTAAAGGATGTAGCTAGTTGGACTTGGAACCAAAGAATAGATGACTTCAGATTTCACACTTTTAACCAATACACTATTTTTATTCTGAAATTTTGAGTTGACTTTCATGTAGTGTTAATTGGCAGTTTCATTTAGGATCCCTAAGGAAGTAATCTATTAATCATCTACCAAATGGGAAACAAGGGAACTGCTAGGTTCAATGGATTTAAATAAAATATCCAGAATAAACTCTATGAGAATTTGATGCTGCATAAAATTATGAAATGGGGAGGTGAGATGGCTTTTCTTGCACTAAAACCCCAGCAACATCTCTCCTCCAGTGAAGGGCTTGGCACTGCTCCCTGGCCAGGCTCTGGGCTCTTGGCGTGAGTGAGAAGTACACAGGGGGGAACGAACAGCTTGTACATGCAGCCACCTGTCCCCCTCTACCCACCAGTGAAGGTGGTGGAAGCTGGAGCAGCCGTCTTCCACCCAAGATGCAAGCCAGGTGCTGAGGATCATGGAGCTCCAGGCTACAAGGGACCAGTGGCCCCTGGAGCCACCACGCCAGCCTTGGACTGCTTACCCTTGGATGTCAGAGCAAAGATACGTACATTTATATCGTGTATATAGCATGGTAATATTGGTTTTTAATAGAATAGCTGAATGGGTCTTCCAAATAGTATAGTTGCTATGTGTATAAAAAGTAAACACTCTAGCCGAAACCGGCTTGGCTTAGTGGATAGAGCATAGGTTTGATTCTGGTCAAGGGCAAGTACCTTGGTTGCAGGCACATCCCCAGTAGGGGGTGTGCAAGAGGCAGCTGATCGATGATTCTCTCTCATCGATGTTTCTAACTCTCTATCTATCTCTCTTCCTCTCTGTAAAAAATCAATAAAATATATATTTTTTAAAAAGAGTAAACAGCCGAAACCATTTTTTGGCTCAGTGGATAGAGCATCGGCCTGCAGACTGAAGGGTCCCGGGTTCGATTCCGGTCAAGGGCATGTACCTTGGTTGCGGGCACATCCCCAGTAGGGGGTGTGCAAGAGGCAACTGATTGATGATTCTCATCAATGTTTCTGACTCTCTGTCCCTCTCTCTTCCTCTCTGTGAAAAATCAATAAAATATATATTAAAAAAAATAAAAAATAAAAAAGAGTAAACACTCTACCAGGTAGTCAAAAGAGCAAAAGAGTAGGGAAGGATGGGAGAAATAGACTTGTCTGAATATGCAAAGCAGATGTGAGGAAAGGGTGAACAGGAAGAGGCAAGATAGGTGCCTAGGGACAGTCACTCTGAGGATCATCTACTAGTTTTAGTAAATACACCCAATGCCCCACTCTGAGGACCCTTCATGCCTTACGTTTTGTATCCTAGGTGCCTCTCTTGTAGTCTTGATCGTGGGAAGGAAAGGAGATGGATAATAGAGGGATGGTGGTAACATAGAATGAGAGTAGAGTGGGGATGAGGTTGGGTGGAATGGGGAGGAATTTTAGGTGAAGACAGGAAGAGAGGAAAGAGTCAAGGGCAACCTTCATGTTCAAGGTTCCACACGGAAAGCTTTTAATTAAGAGAGTATTTCTTACACCTTGCATTTTAGAACTGGGAACAGATGGGAGGTCTGAAAACCAGGCATAACTGGGGAGAAAAATTCTGCACTCAACAGGGAGAGTGTGACAAAGGACAGGGATGTGTGACAGTCAGGTGAGTGTCAGCAGCTCAACACCCCACAGCCATATTTAAAGCGAGGTCACCAGGCCATGGCTGTGGCTGGACTAGAGGGGGGACCTATTTCCAAGATAAGCTCTGAGGATGGGACTTTGGTCCAAGACACCTTACATTGGGAAGACCTTTATAGCTTATGTTCATTATCCTTTTTACTCCTCATGACATCGAAGGAGACACAGATTGTCGGTCCCATTTAACAAATGGCTAGTAAAAGTAAGAGTTAGAACTTGCACTGAGGTCTCTTTCTACTCTCAGATCCTTCCAGTGGTAAAGCCCTGTGATTCTCCTGCCACTGTGTAATAGAGTGTTCTTGAATACCTACTGTGTACAGGAGCTGGGCCCCAAAGGGGCTCTTACATGGTAGAGAGTCATTTGTCTGCATGTCCTACATCCCCACTAGATTGCTAACTCTTGAGAGCAATGCACAGGCTGGCTTCTTTGTTGTTGTTGTTAATCCTTACCTGAGGATATTTTTCCATTGATTTGTTTTGGAGAGAGTGGAAGGGAGAGGGAGAGACAGAGAGAAACATTGATGTGAGAGATACACATCGATTGGTTGCCTCCTGCATGCATCCCGACCATGACTGAAATTGAACCCAGAACTCTTTAGTCACCGGGCTGATGATCTATCCACTGAGCCAAACCAGCTAGAGCCATGCTGGCTTCTTTTAAAAAATATTTTTATTAATTTCAGAGAGGAAGTGAGAGAAGGAGAGAGACAGAAACATCAATGAGAGAGAATCATTGATCTGCTGCTTCCTGCACACCCTCTGCTAGCTTCTTTGTGGCCTTCCTTAAAACGCCCAGAACCTCCACTATCCTCTGGACAAACAATTACTGAATAACGTCACAATGACAGAGCACAGGAAACAAACACTCCCGCTATGTGTGGAGACCCACCCTGGATCTGAACCCGGCCTGGGCTGCAGAGAAGGCTTCCCTGGCATTTTTGTTTCTCCCCAAAGCGCTGGGCTTTGTTTTCTCTCTTATCTCCAGGGATGCTTTCCGCCTCGTGAGACACAGTCATCAATCAACAGTATGCTCTCCAGATACTGCCCCGTGCCAGACACCACAGGATGCGCTTTATCAGCCTCTTAATTTAGTTTACATTTCAGGTAGAAGCCAGACAAGAAAGATTTCCCCCATCCATCAATTCCTGCTTCTGCTGCTTTTTGGAAAAACAACCCACAATTCGAAAAATAAGTGTACCTGAGGATCATTTTCTTGGAGGTGGAAGGATAGTGAGAAATGAGCTGGCCCATGGAAAATGGTCATGATGAGAAAAGGGGACAATTGGTATAAGAAGAAATCAATTTCGGATGTAGACGATATATTCGGAATAAAAAGGGAAGCAATGTTATTTTTATTTTCTCAGTCTTCTGGAGCTTGCAAAATTTCTATAGTGAATATAGAAAATATATACTTAAGCCAGGAAACAAAATTTAGAAAAAAAACAAGAAATGCCCTTTCTTAAGCTGGGTGGCGGGCACACACAGGTGTGGATTTTGTTACTCTTTATCATTTATTTATAGGTGGAATAGATGTTTTGTATAAAGAATTTTAACACTATTTTTTTTTCAGTCATAGGACCTCTTGTTTAATAAAATTTAATCTGGAAGCAGTCTTAATTGAAGCAGGGGTTCCCTGAAGGCTAGCCTATTTATAATGTCCGCTTGACTCTTGCAACTATTGTTGGCATAAACTCTATTTTGTCTGATATGAGTATAGCTACCCTCAATTTCTTTTGGTTTCTCCTTGCATAGAATATATTTTTCCATCCTTCACTTTGAGCCTCTGTGTGTCCTGAAAGAATATCATGTAGGCAGCATGTAGTTGGGTCTTGTATTTTTATCCAGCAGCCAGTCTGTGCTTTATGATTGGAGAATTCAATCCATTTACATTTAGAATAAATATTGTTATGTAAGGACTTACATATGCCATCTTATTAATTCCTTCCTGGCTGTTTTCTATCTTTCATTCCCCCTCTCTCTTTCTGCTTATCTTTGTGAATATGCTGTCATTCCCCTCTCTTTATCTGTTGTGTTTTTGCCTTGTGATTACCAGGGGGCTTTCATAAAACATAGACAAAGCAGTCCATTTTAAGCTGATAGCAACTCAACTCTGATCACATACAAAAGCTTTACTCTTTTGCTTCACCCTGTTTATGGATTTGATGTCACATTTTACCTGCTATTTTGGGTATTTGTTAAAAGACAGTATATTTTTAATACTCCTTTCTTTTAACATTCTTGACTAGCAATTTTTTTTCTTTAAACATGTTGAATATACTATCCTACTTTCTCCTGACCTGTAGAGTTTCTGCTGACGAATCCACTGATAACTTAAGGGGTGTTCCTTTGTAGTTTACATTATTTCCTCCTCTCTCCCTGCTTTTAGAGTTC